TTTACTTCCAATAAAATTCAAAATTCGTAATTTATACCGAAAACATTTACAACCTATATTAATAATTAAAAATCAAGTTATGAATGTGATTGTAAAATCAGTTCACAAACCGTTCCAACCGGCATTTAATTTTGGTATCGCAATAGAACGGTCCATGTGGACACATGCGTACAGTGTTAGAGATTTGTGTGTTGGAACAAACCTATTATAATATGTTTATTTTTATTTTTTGTTGCATTCACTGAACATTTATAAACATAAATCTAACTTTACAACAGGTGGAAGACAACCCATTTATATTATATTTCTGTACTTAGGATTTCAAGATACTTTTTTGTTTGTTTTTTGGTCTTTACACCATAATATTTTAAATGAAACTAAATCTAACACACAGCCTCTAAATATATAAATATTCATATTTTTTAGTTCTTGTCTTATTTTTTTCTTCTTATACCTTAATTATACAGAATATTTTTGTTGGTCGCTTCGTATTCCAAGATCGACTGTACAAATTAGACAGAGAGGGTGAAACTAGCGACAGATGTCACCTGTCCAATGTTCGATCTAGGAATATGTGAACGCGCCCTAGACTATTCTTGTATCAGTTCAATTGTGACGCACACTTATTGAGCGTTTATAATATTTAGTAAAAACATCTAGACGGGACAAGACTCGGTATATTTTAAATTCTTTGATTCTGGAATAGAAAGAAGGTATTACAGATATCTTTTAATCGGTGCATCATCCTGTATATTCAAATCTATAAATATAAAAAAAATAACTAACAGACTTAAAGATAGAAAATGGTATTGTTAATTTAAAAAAATGTTCTAATAATCAAAATATACAGTGTGTCTCAAGTCTACATAGAACTAATACATATATTTGGAATCAAAATAATCATCTGTCAAACGTCAAGCCTGCCTTACGTCATCTGTCAAATCTGTCTTACGTCACCTGTCACCTGTCAAATGTCAAACCTGCCTTACGTCACCTGCTTACGTCATCTGTCAAATCTGTCTTACAACACCTGTCTTGCGGCATCTGTCAAACATATCTTACAACATCTGTCATACATACATACTTGTGACATCTGTCACTAATACATATATTTGGAATCAAAATAATCGAGTTGAACAGAAATTGTGCAACTAACTTATTTTATGTCGAAAAATACGTAGTAGTCCCCGTAATATTGGGACACCCTGTATAATATTTATTATAAAAATTTAAGAAATAACGCTACTGGAACTTAAAATATACCATGTCTAATTTAAGGGAAAAATAAGTAAAAAATTTATTTCTTTTTATATTTTTTTTCTGAAGTGAAAAAAAAACCAAAAAAAAATGATGTCGTGGAATGCAGAGGGGCTGAAGATTCAATATTCGAAGATGACCCACAACACACAGTACAACATTTAGTAGTTGGGGAAGGAAAATATATATTTATAATATTTTCTGTTTATTTTATTTGAGTATGAGAAAAAAGTTTGGAGTGATTTGAAATAGAACAACATGAATTATAATAGTAATGACTTGAAAGTTAATACTTTGTGATTATTTTTACTATAAAAATAGGAATTTCTTATAAATAGACCATAATTTTATATTTGAAATTCTCTCGATATGATTTGTTGTACATTTTCTGCCTAATATTGAGGTGCAAAAGACAATTTTGCGAATAATTACCTACTGGATCTAATAGAATTTTGCAAATAACTTAAAAACGATTTAAAGAAAGGGACTCAGATTTGATAGGTAGCCTGATCTAACCAAGTACTTTGACAGTTAAAACAATAAAAATATAAAACCTTTTTTATAAAAGAACAATTATTAATCAATATAAAATACATAATCTCTCCAAAAAAAATCTTTATGGGTATTTCGCCACTGCACTGCAAGAAAATCTACAAGTTAAACTTCATAATTTTGAAGTTTAACTTGATATAATGTCATTTTAACAGAACGTCAACGGTTTCTTGTAGACGTATCTGTTTTAAAAAAGTAAAGTGTTCTCGAATAGTTAAATTTAAATATTTTAAATTTTTTTTTCTTTATTCTTTATATTTTTTTTGCTTCCGACGACGGAAAGAGATAAACTTTCCGAAACGTTAAGCATTTTTTTCTTTGTTAGGAAAATTTGTATAACTGTAAACATAACTTCTGACAAGCAGTGTCCGTTTAGGTTTAACGCCAGAAGTGTTTACAAAAAATAACTATTTTATTTTGTAGATTTTTTTGCAGTGTCCAAATACCCTTCAATGATTTTTTTGGAGAGATGAATCCGCCACATAGGTATAGACATTTTCTAAAATAAATAATGTTGTTCTATCTCAAATTGCAACTTCTGGCACACAATTTGGTTATTATTTTTTGCTATTTGCCTACGATATCCATCAATATAAGATAACCGATGCATGTTAAAAAATATTATGGTTACCCTAAACATCGAGGGCACAACCCAAAGCAAGAGGCAGAGGAAGCACGCAATTGTTCTTCTATCTTCTTTTAGGCCTTTTTGAGGTTTTTGTGCGATTATTTTAGTTTACTCTCTCAGAGACCTTAAGTTAACTAATAGTGTGGTTTTGTTAACCTTTTCCGCCTTCAAGAAATGATACTAGCTCGTTAGGGTATCTTTCTCAAAGCATCAAAGGTGACATAACCTAAAAAATGTATTGGTCTTGCCTAATTCCCATGTATTTTTATATAGCATTGCCTTGAAGACTAAGAATAGTTTGTTATACAATGAACAATTTGTAGTACTGCTTAGCTTAGTTATGTTCAATTTGAGATTTACCGTACAGAATATCAAATGTCAAATATTATGATCAAATACAGTAAAATTTCTCTATAAACCAACTAAACTCGAATATTTTTTGCAAGTAATTTAGTTTTTACCAAAGTCATCTAACTAAAGAGGAGGCGCAACACTCCATTCATAAAACTCCATTTGTTTACAATCATACATAATATGTTAACACTTTTATATAAGTTATGAAATTAGAGAGGGGTACATAAATATGACAACGCTGTTGAGTTTCGTTTGCGCTTCTGTCTTTTCGTTTTACAAGTGGCGTGCTGTTTTTAATCAACAGTCGTAAAAAGTAATTTTAATTTAAATTTTGATTTGTAATGTATACCTAACTATATTGAAACAAAATATATTAGGTTATTGATTATTTGTTGTTAAATTGCTGGACTACATGGGAATATTTTAGTGTAAATGTAGTAAACCTTATTAACATTCAATGCGTTCAAACACCCGTCTTGTGGATGTCGCCGCTTATACCCATTTTATTAAATAAATCTGGTATGCGGATAAAAAATATCTTCGATTTAAGTAAATTTATTTCTACATTGATTCTTAACTTTTGCAAATAACGGCGGCAGCCTGTGGTTTAAAATTTCACCATACATCTTATTAGTTATTATATTTTGTATGAATTAACTTGGTGCTAGCCATTATAGCAAAGAGTTACAAAAGAGAGAGAGAAATACACGAGGAACTTAAACTATCGCCTTTTACTTCATCAAACCGACCCTCAAAATTTCCCCCTGTTACAATATTACCATAATGGTAATGTAATAATTATTTTTCTCATATAGTAATGGTACATAAGAATTCAAGATGTGAAGTCCATAAAAATCGTATAGGTGTAATTTTATTTTAAATAATTCTTTTTTGTAATAATCTACTTAAAACTAAAATTAGGTACACCACTGTTAAAGCCAAAAAATACGCAACGTCACTTACCGCCGAAATATCAATTTGGGACTAGAATAGTCCACATTTTTGCAAACTAAGCACTGGAAAACAATCTAAGATATTTAAATACACTTTAAACATTTCTTTTGCAAAGAAAAACACAAAAATTCACAAACACCGTGCAGCAACACTGTTAAACATAATTTGAATGAATCCATCAAAGCATTACTATTCATTGCAAAAACCATAGAAACCAAACAGTATTTCTAAAGCAGCGTTGTCACAATTTCTCCCCTAATAAATTTAATTTAATTTAGAAAACTACAATTAATTTTAGAGGTATAACATATGTATTTTAACTAAAATGATATATCTACGCATATTTTTAGTATGCCGTTTCTATAAGTATCCAAAAAACAATTAATAACAATAATAACATACTTCGTTTTCAAACACAAGCCGTAGATCTAACGAAATCCGCGGAAATTTGTCAACATCAATTTTTGTTAAAAACGATGTTTGATCCTAATAAAATGTAAATAGTTTTGTCTCCTTTAAGTTAGAGGTCTTTGGAACCAACCATATACAGGGTGTTCCTTAATGACATGCTAATATTTAAGGGCGTGGTTCTTGGACCTATTCTTAGAGGAAAACTTCATATGGCATGAAACATCTTAATTTCTGAAATACAGGGCGGTAAATTTTTCTAAAAAAACTTTTTTTCATAATAACTCTGATTTTATTACAGATATCTTTATGAAACTTGATAGACGTCTTCTATGCATCAAAATACCTTTTTTGGTGTACAAAGAATATATTACTTTCAACCAGTGCCGTCCATACGGGTTTTACATTAAATATTTTTGAAGAAAAAAGTGGTACACTGACTTCACCACCCACTCACTTTCTGCTTTCAAAATGTCCATTCATTTATAAAAAAATATCTCTTGATTTTTTTGCGACGCATAGTTTTTATTTAAAAAAATTAAAGTCAGTTTATTTCAGGGTCATATCGCTTAAAATATGATGCGGTGACTATTGTGTGGAAATCATTTCTGCATCGGCTAGAACGATATTAAGAAATAAAACAATTTTTTTGTATATCAAAATAAGCATTTTGATGCATGGGAGACGTGCATCAAATATACCATCAGAGATATTTTGAAAAAAAAATAGAAAATTTTACCACTCTGTATCTAAAAAGTTAAGATGTTTAGGCCATATATATGAAGTTTTTTCCTTAGAATAGGTCCAAGAATCACCTTCTTAAATATTAACATGTCATTAAGGAATATCCTGTATTATGTAAATAATATTCTTTTTTTATTTTTTTAATTTGGCATATTTTTCTGTAAGTAGAGTTTTCCCTTCCTCGAATTCAGTTCTACTGTATAAAAAAGATAGTAAAGAAATATAACAAATTATTCATATAATATGTCCTGCACAATATAATAGTACCTGATACACCTTTCTCTTCTTTTTAGAGAATTAAGCAAGACCGTCCCATTTCAAAACTCTAGGCTTCTTTTACCGCTCACTTCACGCCGTTCTGCCCTCGTATTCCTAACCTATAAAAAGTCTCGTTTCGCGTGTCGCGCGCGTGCGCGTTCATCGTCAGTTATTGTAAAACCCCCGATTCACCGCGGCCCTGTTCCTGTTGTGCCATTTGCACTGCAAAATTCTGAGATAGGTCCGCCTGAAACTGGCGTTGCACAGCGCGTAGCACATCGGATTGATCGTCGAGTTTATGTAGCACAAATAGTAGAAGAAGTCCCACACTTGCTGGGGGATGCGAGCGCTCGTCGCGGTCGCCGGTTTGAGCAGCACCAGGATGTTGTACGGGGTCCAGGTGATGATGAAGGTCAGCAGGATCGCGCTTAAGGTCTTGGCGGCCTTTTTGTCCGCCTTCTTCTCCTGCGTCTTCTTTTTCTTCTTGCCGTGGTTCTTGGTCGCGTTGGCCAGCAGCGTCTTGCCGCCCGCGTGTTTCGGAATGCCTAAAGAATTAAAAAGATTTTAATATACCAGGGCGGTCTGAATTGTAATCGAAAAATAGAAAAAGTAGGTTTTCATTTGAACAAAATGATTTATGATAATTTGAATCTCTGAATTCCATGACAGCTACGGCCAATATAAATGACATTCAAAAAATTAAATTTTTGAAACGGATAGCCACATGTCTTCTCTTTATGTCACAGTGGCCGTGGTAATCACTAAATTTGACGTTTAGGCTATAAAAACTTTTTGACAGTAGTTTTTTTCGTCCAAAAATTTTAAATATTTTTTTTTCAAAAACGGTTAATGCTAGCACCCCTATAACTTTTTTATTTTTTTAGATAAAAAAAACGAGATTTGATACGTTAGTGTATGACATAAATTAGGATTCACTTCCTGTTTGATGACTACAACTTTTGATTTTTAAATGGCACCCTCGGTATATTTCAATAGAAAATGACACTCTAAATAGAATGACACATCATACTTTTGACATTTTCGCTTAAAAACAATTCGTATTTTAAATTTCAATCTAGAGTGAAACGGCTGTTTTAAAAACACGAATTTTTAATCAAGGGGCCTTGGAAAAATACTTTTGAGCGTCTAATGTTTTTCGTGTCTTGTCCTGCCCGGTTAAAAGATGCCCAAATCGTATTTTAAATCATATCTCAACTTTTTCAAATGGAACAAAGGTGGCTCATTAACATATTTGAAAAAAGCATTTTTTACGAATAATTTGTTACCACACACTGGTATTTCGAGTCAAATTGTTGTTATAACGACCGCATGCTATAATTTCAAATGAACCGTATGCGAAAATGTCAAAAATTGGAGTGTATTTTTGTTTTGTTTTTATTATTCGGAGTGTCATTTTCTATCTAATAAAGTAGAAATATACCGAGGGTGCCATTTAAAAATCAAAAGTTGTAATCATTTCCGGTGAAACAGGAAGTGACCAAAAACAATTGAATACGTCAATAAATCTTAATTTATGCCATATACTAACATTCTAAATCTCGTTTTTATATCTAAAAAAATAAAAAAGTTATAGGGGTGAGCCACTTTCGAGACGCACCCAGTAGAGTGTTTGATATTAAAATTCATAAAATTTTACAGAGAATTTAAGTATGTAAGAAAATAGGGGTACTCATTTAAAATAAAGAAGTCGCAGTCAATTTCCGGTATTTGCGGAAGTGCCCCCACATTGAAAATATTTTTAATCGATAGATCTCGTTGTGAACAAATAATGTGCAAAATATCATTGGTTCTCCAGAAACTTCTAATGCAGGCTCAGCATGGGACTCCCTGTATATCTACCTTTAGCGTTCAACGGGATCCTAATATCGGGCATCGCCGAAGGCCTCCTGTTCAAGTGATTAGCCGCACCAGCGTGGCCCACCGAATTCGAGTTGGCCTTGATCTCCTCCTCCTCTACTGGTTGCTCGGGGATCATTTTGATGGAAGGCCCCTCGCTGGTACCCCCGTGACCACCGCCATCGCCGGGCAGCTTGATCAAGATGGTGTAGACGCCTTCGGATGACGCCGAGGATCGGCCTCCCACCCTGTTAGTCATGGGAAGACTGCGCGTGTCTCTTGGAGCAAACCGAGTGGGGGTCATGTTGGGGGCTCCGGTTGAGCTCCACGAAGAGTCCCTGGTTGTGTAAGGATCCCTGGGAAAGATAATTTGAATGAGAAATTTGATCTGGGCGCACTCAGAAAGAGCAAAACAGTTTTAGTCAAAAACGATTTTTGTCTTGGTCTTGCATTTGCTCACCACTATACTTTTGTAATAAACATGCTGTTTTGATCCAAAGAGAATCCAGGTACCTAAACGCTTATGACTATCACTCACCTGATGATGTTCAATGACGTACACCTTGATACAGAGCTCTGCAAGGGCGTGTCCAAGGACACTGGTGTAATACAGCCTTGACCTTGCTCGCTGGGACTCTCTTCCTCCGTGTCACTGTTGTCGTCTCTCCCCGAATGCCACCAGGTGACGCACCAGCTGCGTAGACGACGTATTGTCCCCCTCACACCCCTACCTCTAGCACCTCGTTGCGATACAAAAATCATCTGTGAAGAAAATTATTACGTTTAATACTTTCGAGACTAGAATTTAGAGTACTTTCGCACGAAGCCACTTTTGTCCGATACCGGTGAGCGCCACCTTTGTTCAGATTTAGGAACGCGTTATTAAATCTACGTATACAGACAAACCACTCTACTAATCATGCTGCTTTTAGTCGCATCATATTTTCCCGATTTAATTTGGTATTCTGATTTGTGTCAGCCACCGGTGGTCAAGGAGTGCGACTAGTGTCGAACACAAGTGTCTATGAAAAACACTTCTTGTGCGGAAACTACCGGTGAAATTCACTACTTGCTATCGGAGGAAAAATTCTTGCAAAAATTGTTAAACCGCCTGCACCCACATATAGAAAAAATCCTCCCAGAATCGCAAACAGGCTTTCGCATCAACCGCGGTACCGTTGATTCAATATTCTCCATCCGCCAACTACAGGAGAAAGTAAAGGAGCAGCAGAGTAAACTTTATGTTGCATCAAAGAATATTAAATATTTTTTGGTTGCATTCATCGACCTAACAAAACCATTCGATTCTGTAAACAGAGATGCACTTTGGGCAAACAACAGTTCGGAGTAGCAAACAAATTTCTTACAGTGTATAAAAGTTTCAATAACAACAAGTCGAGAGTGTCATATCATGGATCACTGAGCGATCCCTTCCTGACAAATACAGGAGTTACGCAGGGATGTGTCTTAACTCCTCTCCTATTCAACGTATTCCTGGCAGTGATCTCTGTTATACAGAGTGAGTCTTTAATAAGAGCAAATATTTTCAGGGGTGGTATATTTCGACCCCAGGAACACGTCTATGAGGTTTTTTTCGCTAAAAAAGATGTGCATTTTCTTTTAAATTTTCCTGTATATTTTTCTAAAACTTTTTAGAACTGCCTGTTCACAGCAAATTTTCCCACAGTATAATTTCTTAATCTCTGATTTACTATAGTTACGGCTTTACTCTATGGTTACGGCCAAAAGGATGTAAATACAGAAAAAATCCAAAATTTCAAACTTAAATAACTAGATTATTTTGGACTTACCTGAAAAATGGTAAAGAGAAAATATGTTTCTTTTATCGAGATCTACCAGCCCTGAAAATATTTGCACTTATTTGTAGACCACACCCTGTAGTGGACAGCAAACTGCAGGAAAAAGGAATGGGTTTTAGATACAGGTATGACGGGGATCTATTCAACTTGAAAAAACTTAAGACAAGTAACCATCTTCTGATGCGTGTCATATACTCGTCAGCGAGTAATGGCAGTAAGTAAGATCACCTATCGTGTGATGTCGATATTTTACAGCTACTCCAGTTTTTAGTATATGTTTACTACGATCCTTGTACCATATCCGAGATGCACTTATCTACGACGAGATGGTATACAAACTTTATTGATGGTAACTTTATTGGTGTAAAAGACTTTCTGCCTGGGCAGCAAGTATTGAGTATAAACTGTGCCTGTGGGTCTACAGTTAATTTTGCCTCGATTTTTCCTCCACTTGACTTCAAAATACACAAAACACACGTAATAACACGAATCAAAATGCATCATCTTCCAAAACGCAGATATTTGACATAAGTTGACACAAAATTATAACCTATAATTTGGCAAGACTTTGACAAGCCTCAAAAATCTAAAGGCGAGTTCATACGCATCGATGTCCGTTTGTCGTTCATCGTTCCGCCAAACCAATAAAATTGAAATATGATCTGTCATTTTTGAAATAAACCAATAAAACTGGTTAAAAACAACAAGAGACGACACATGACGGATTTATATTTAAAAAAAAACGAAACCTGGATACCGTACCGCCGCGCCGGCACACGAACGCAACACAGACACCTTAGACAACTGTTAAGAATCAAATGGTACCACCTTGTCTCAAACGTATCAATTAAGCAAGTCATATTTTTCGCTCTTCGACTTACAAGAGCGCCTAGCGATTCACTCCTATAAAAATACTGTCCCGATATTGTCGCTTGCAAACGTATGGTATGTAATAATATTAGTAATACCCAATTAAAAAAATAAATTATTAATATTGAGACAGACTTTTTGATATTCTTATGAACGACGCATAATTATCCTGTAAATTAAAATGACATACACAACTGTCACTGTAATGCATCCCTTCGATGGACAGACTATATTTGAAAATATAGGTTTCAGCAAATTCGATTTGCAGCTACTATCGCCATTGTTCTAAACACAGAACAAGGTACAATACTATTGGTATCGGCAGAACTGACAAGTTTCCGTCCTGCTTTTTCTCTATGAGTTTCTCTATGTATACAGGCGGCAGAGAATAAGTTTTGGAGCCAGATAAAATAGAGAGCTACACGTACCCATTACAATAGACAACATTTCTGATTGTTTACATAAAAGGATACGTTTGTTTCCGATATTCATACCCTTTTGAGAGTTATTTTCCATCACTTTTGTAAATAAAACTATCTTAAGGAAAATTTCTTTTCTTTTTTCAACCGTCACAAAAGTATTAATTTTTGTGACGTGGTTGACACTATGAAAGAATAATTTTTGTTTCCAGGTTCCAAGCAAAAAAAAATACTTTTACGCAGTGGCGGCTCGTAGTCATTATTGTAGAGAGTCAATATCTAAAAATAATGCGTCGATTTTTTTAAGACGCACCCTCGGACGTACCCAAATTTAATTGGTTCCTTACAAGGTATTTGGAAGTTTAGTTAAAGAAAAATAAATATAAATTCTATTAAAATGAAACCTACCGCTACATTTTTAAACAGGTGGTCTAGTGCCATTTCACTAAAAATCCAGTCAATGTTCTTTACACAAATTTTCCACGGTAGGATTTAAAAGACACTAAATAATAATGTCACAAAAATATAAATGCATATATACACATACACAATTCTAAAAATTTTCTTTCACATTTTTAATATTTTAAATCAATGAGGCGCCGGCGTTCTTTCTCTATACGTTTTTCGAAATTTAAGCAATTTTATTGTTTTACGCTTTCACAAACTAAACACCATGTTGTCTATATTAAAATATCTATTTCAGAATCAGTCAACCACATCATTTATCCATAACCAGAAAATTATGAATAATTACCTACACAAATTTCGCGCTACACCTCAAACACTCGGCTACGACAACTAAAACTAGATGGGATTTCTTTCGATATTAAAAATTTAAATATTGCTTTATATTGTCTAAGCCAAACATTATATGCGATAAACGATACAAAAACCTAGTGTTAGAAATATGATTATATAAACAAAATTGATTTATTTTTGGGAAGATAAGCACGGACCGCTGTCGGTCGCGCCAGTGTGATGAGACACTTCAGTACGCTCGTTTCAATGCTGTCTGTGTTTATTAAAGTTTCCTGACGTATTATTGGTGGTTTATAGTTGATTAAATGTGTTGAATTGTAGTGTATCGGAAAGGTTCTGTGTTTTTATTATTTAATTGCTAAAATCAGAAGTGGGGAGAGCTTACACCACAATAAGCAATAGAGCTTACACCAATAGAGCTTACACCACAATAAGCTTTTGACTGGCATGGTGAAACTTGGATACATTTGAATAAGATAAGTACACAGGTTCTAATTAGGTTTACAAATCAAAATTATTGGTTGCCTGCTTGTGGCTTTGGAAGAGTACGAACAGTTAATATTTCAGTTAATCAGTTGAGTATAATAAAGTAAATTTTTAAAGAAAATGAGTCACGGCGTCATGTTGCAAAACTCGGAAGCATTGCCGCATTTAGATTGAGCATTGGAGCGTTTATATTAGCAGTTTAAGAGCCCAAACAGATAACCTGTATAAAGTTACGGAGGGAAATATTACAGTGATTGTTATTAAAACAAGTATTTTCTGCATTATTTTACAGCGATTTAAGTTTAATTAAGTTTTTATAGTCTGAAATTCTCTGAATAAGTTTTAATGATTAGTTTATTAGGCACTGGTAAATACATTGGTACAGAATGGTTGGCTTAAACTATTAGCCACACCGTTTAAATTTTAATTCTGAATAAGTTTTTTTAATTGCATAACAAATAGCAATAGAGGAAAGTTTTTGTCAAGAAAAAAATATTGATCGGTATTTATTCAGGCGAAGTGATAAATATTGTCGCTTTTGTTTGCAAGGCTGCTGTTGTTTTTTTACTTATTTCTTTCAGATTAAAATAGTTTTGTTTTGTTGTTTTGGCTAAATTAGTCATGTCATACATGCCATATTTTGTTACTGGATCGTTCTCAGCAAGCGTTATGTTTTTATTTTATTGAAGTATTAGGAAAATTAAACATTCTAACTGCAATGAACTTATTAATTATTATGTACTTGTAAATAGTAATATTATTCGTTACATATACGAATAAATGAATGATCCTGAAGAAAACAGTTGCATTTGTTATGTTTATTTCTATTTTTCTCAATTTGTTTTATTAAAAAATGCAAAAAAAAATTGAGTGTTTATTTTATCTGTGGTTTTATGCAGGGGATTTCAACTAACTAATTTTAAAACGCAAATTATTAATAGATGAGATGCATTACTGAGATGGCACTTATTTTCTGTATATGTGTTGAACTAGTTTTGTTTATTAGTCATTGTCTACTTAAGTTTTGGTATGTATTGCAGAAATATTAAAAAAAATGATGATAAAAATATTAATTATAATTAGTCAATGTAGATATCAGAATACGAATGGCACGTGTTATAAATGAATGTGTTGAAAGCATGGACGCTTTGCACTGTGAGTAATGTGTGAGTGTGTGAGTGCTGTTAGTAATGTAATAATTTAATAATGTTTTAGTAATATTTAGGTGTTGAAAGCATGGACGCTTTGCACTGTGGTAGTATTTGAGTGTTGAAAGCATGGACGCTTTGCACTGTTGTTATATTTGAGTGTTGAAAGAATGGACGCTTTGCACTGTTGTAATGTTTAAATGTTGAAGGCATGGATGCTTTGTACTGTTAGTAATATGTAAATAGTGAAAGCATGGTAACATGTAACATATAAGTATTTAACATATAAGATTGAAAAAAAAATATATTTCTGAGAATGAATGAGTATTGAAAGTCTGGAAGGTTATGAGTAAATTGATTAGCTAATAGAGTAGTAGCTGGATTCGTTATAAAGAAACCTCTCTAAGTAAGATACCAATTCCTATAAGAACAACTGACTACTCAGAATATCTCCTTTGGTGGATAGCAATGAAGAATTCCTTCCTGATATTCAATAGCCGATTCCGAATAGAATGACTTCGAGAGCGAAGTCCGTGTCAGAATTGGTCGTGTTAGAAATATGATTATATAAACAAAATTGATTTATTTTTAGGAAGATAAGCACGGACCGCTGTCGGTCGCGCCAGTGTGATGAGACACTTCAGCACGCTCGTTTCAATGCTGTCTGTGTTTATTAAAGTTTCTTGACGTATTATTGGTGATTTATAGTTGATTAAATGTGTTGAATTGTAGTGTATCGGAAAGGTTCTGTGTTTTTATTATTTAATTGCTAAAACTAGGTTGTTTTATAATTTGAGTTTTTATAAACACCCAAACTGCCCAAACGGCGAAATTTTTCCAACGATATGACTGAAATCCTTTTATGAATGACGCGGTCAATGGCCAATACACACTATATCTATCGCACCTTAACCCATTATATTTTCTATACGTAGTATACCTTCCCTCGTTGGCGTCACGAGCCGCGGCATTGGGAGTTTTAATACCTGCAAAACATACATATACATACAGCCGTTACTCGCTGACGAGTATTCGACACACATAAGGAAAATGGTCACGCAAGGCGTTTTCTTTCATGAGCTTTTCTGTGACTGAAAAGCCCGATACGTGATGTTATCTGCCTACCGCACTCCGGACATTCAAAAATCTCATTGCTTTGTTGCCTCTCTACTTTTTGGTTGCCGCTGTTAACTGAGTTTACAACCCTTCTCCATTGAGTTCTATTGTGAGCTGCTTTTTCCCACTCATTCTGCATGTTAATTCCCTTTAAATTTTCGTGGAAAATGTCCTTGTATCTTTTCAGTTGTCCACCCGGCCTCCTCTTACCGTCCACAAGCTCACCGTAAAGCAGAGATTTTGGTATGCGGTTTTCTTGCATTCTGCATACGTGACCAGCCCATCTTAAGCGGGATTTTGTGACCATGACTTCAATACTCTCGCAGTTAGATTTTTCAAGGACCGATACGTTTGAGACATGATGGAACCACCGGACTCTTAAGAGTTGTCTAAGGTGTCTCTGTTGCAACTTGTTCAATGCGTTCATGTGTCGGCGGTAAGGCACCCAGGTTTCGCTCCCATATATCATGGTGGGGATTATAATTGCTCGGTATACTGCAAGTTTTGTTTTTGTACTCAAGTCATGATTGTAGAAAACCCTGTCTTTTAATTTCCAGAATGCCCTTGAGGCGCTACTAATCCTGTGCTGAATTTCAGAGTCAATATTGGCCTTTTCCGAAATCAAACTGCCAAGGTAATTGAATTCCGCCACATATTCCAATAGTTCTTCTCCGATTTTTATAGCATTGTTGTGATCTTCCGGGTGAGTGCACATGATTTTAGTTTTGTCGATGTTTAGCTTAAGGCTCAAAGCCTCGTATGCCCAGGTATATGTGTTCAACATTTCTTGTAATTGTTGTACCGTGTTTGCAACTAGAGTGCAGTCGTCAGCGTATTGAAGTTCTGTGATAAATTTTGTACGTGTTTTTGCCCTGAGTCTTTTTATGTTGAACAGACCGCCGTCATATCAGTATCTAATGCCCAATCCTCTCTCCTGCAGTTTGCTGTCCACTATAATGGAGAGCGCTGCCATGAATATGTTGAATAGGAGAGGCGCTAAGACACATCCCTGCCTAACTCCTGTATTTGTTAGGAATGGGTCTCTCAGTGATCCATGATGTGACACTCTTGACTTGTTGTTTTGGAGGCTTTTACACACTGTAAGAAATTTGTTGGGTACTCCGAACTTTTCCATAATTGCCCAAAGCGCATCTCTGTTCACAGAGTCGAAGGCTTTTGTTAGATCGATGAATGCAACATAAAGTTTAGACTCCTGCTCTTTTACTTTTTCCTGTAGTTGACGGATGGAAAATATGGAATCGACGGTGCCGCGGTTGGTACGAAAACCCCTTTGCGATTCTGGAAGGATTTTTTCTATATATGGGTGCAGGCGGTTTGACATTATTTTTGCAAGAATTTTTCCGCCGATAGCCAATAGCGAAATTCCCCGGTAATTTCCGCAGTCTGATGCACTTCCTTTGTTCTTAAATATATTCACTATATTCGCGTTCGAAAATCCTGAGGTACCTCTCCGCTTTCCCATACGACATCAAAGAGAGCTTTAAGATGACCAATAAGTTCTTTACTTGCACACTTATAGATTTCCGCCGGAATATCGTCACAGCCAGCTGATTTGTTGTTTTTAAGCTGTTTTATGGAGGTCTTTATTTCTTGTTCTGTTATTGGGATGTCTAATACATCGAGGCTGTTATACTGAGGTATTGTGTTTAATGCTTCCATATTGGGGTTGTTTTCTTGGTTAAGGATATGGCTGTAATGTTCTTTCCAGCGATTTCTAATTTGTTCTTCCTCTTTTAGAAGTTCGCCATTTTGAGCCATGATTGGGCAGCTTACCTTCTTAGTTGGGCCGTATACTTCTTTTACAGCCTCGAAGAATTTACGATAATCGTGATGCGTGGCGTACTCTTGAATCTGATTCACTTTTTGTGACCACCAGTTATCCTTTACTTGGCGCAGTTCTCTTCGAAGCGAGTTGTTGGCTGCTTTAAAGTTGTCTACCAGTCTTGGATTATGTGGATTTGCAGTGACGGCTTGATATGCTCTATGCTTTTGTTCCAACAAAGCCTGTATATGCGGTTGATTTTCGTCAAACCAGTCTGGTTGTTTCTTTTTGTTCGACTTTCCCAGTACTGCTTCGCTGGTTTTATGAATCGCATCCCTTAATTGTGTCCAGCCTTGTTCAGCTTCCAATACTGAGATTGAAGTTATCGGTGGAAGTGATTCTTTGATGGCTTCCCGGAGGGCGTCGGCGGTATTGTTGTTTTCTAGACCCCGTACGTTCAATCTGGTCATGTTGTTTTGCTTTTTACAGCGTGGATGTTTGGGTTTTAACTGGATTTTCATTTTTGAAATTAAAAGTCGGTGGTCAGTGCCGCATTCGGCATCTACTCTAGCTTTTGTGAGCCTAACATCTTTTAGATGCGTCCTTCGAACGATTATGTGGTCCAATTGATGCCAGTGGCCTGATCTAGGATGTTTCCAGGTACCTTTAAACTTGTCCTTCAACATGAACCACGTATTGGTGATGCAAAGATTATACTCTGCGCATGTTGTTAATAAGCGTTCACCATTGCTATTTGCGTTTCCCATTCCATGTTTTCCCAATACGTCAGGCCATATTTCCTGTTGTTTGCCTACACGGGCATTAAAGTCACCTAGCAAGATGATTCGTTCGTGCTTTGGAATTCGTTGAAGGGCATTTTGTAAAGCTTGGTAAAATTTATCCTTATCTTCAATTTTAGCGTCAAGGGTGGGAGCGTAGGCACTAATGATGTTGACGTAAGTTTTGTCTGATATGGGGTACCTTAGGGTCATAAGACGTTCGGAGACACCAATAGGTACTTCTGTTAACTTGGTGGCGATTTCGTTTTTGATCGCAATGCCTACACCATGAATTCTCCTGTGTGTTGCGGGATGACCTTTCCAAAAGAAGGTGTAATGCTCCTCAGTGAGACTACCTTCATCTGCAAGCGTGTTTCGCTTAGAGCGGCAACATCTATATTTAATCGGTGGAGTTCCTGTGAGACCAGTGCTGTTCTTCTCTCTGATCGATTTGAATTTATCTTGTCCAGTAGAGTGCGGACGTTCCACGCCCCGAACGTGAAACATTGATGTTTTTTGTTTCTCCGATGATACGCTCGAGTAGGCACCCCCTCCCGGAGATCCGATTGAGGGGGTATTTTACCTCCGGACGATAATTTTGTCCCACTCGAATGTTCCATCATTGCTGTGTGTAAGCTGCGTGAAAGGGTTTAACTGTGGCGGTTACGCTGCCGCACAGTTTTGGCTGCAACTGTAGCACGGGATGGCTATGGCACAGTGAGGACTGCGACGATAGTTCCCTTGTGCTACGTTCTCGGCCGGCTAGGTGTATTTTATTACTCCTTTTCCCCAGAAGATGGTAGGTCTGAGGGTTGTATAAGGTTATACCGCCTATACTCGGACGTCAGAGCCTCGTTTGTGTAAACAGGGTGCACCACGTGAAGGTGAGGTTGACTTTTGGGTAAGCTAGGCTATATGTATCGCTTCAATACCCCTTGCACCTTCAATACCCCTTGCACACCAAACCTGCAAAACATAGCGGGAACGAAGGACAAAATTAAATTTTGATCGGCAATAGAGAAAATGGGTAAAATAAAACGTTTTCAAGCGAAAATTGGACAAATTGATGATTTTTGCGAATAATTTTGAATATCTTAGGACAAAAAAAGTGATTTACAAAAAGTATAATTTAAATAGTTTTTTTCCAATTTTCTTCTGATTTTTTTTGGGGGAGGAGGGGCACTGACCATTTGACCTTATGGTTAAGCCGCCCCTGCTTTTACGTCTAGACAAAAAAGTAAAGCATTTTTACTCCTAAGCATAAAAGACCAATAATATGATATTTTAAGATATAAAAAAGAATGAATACAAAACTCAAAACTTAACTTTATATATTTACTATATTTTACTTATGGAACAGTAGTTTGAAATTTTCCTAGTTTTGCCATTTCTTATAATTTATCCCTGAATTTAAGGAAAACTAGAAAATACTGTGTTGTAGCTTACCGGTTTTTTCCGTCGCTGCGGATCCACACTGACCGTGCTGTGCATGTAAACTGAGTCAGTGTCGGCGGTGGAGGATTCCGACCTGGGTCTCTTCCACTCGTCCATGTCTACCGTGGAGCAAGCGTTGGTCGCTTCGTCACTGCAGACGAATACACTATATACAGGACATTAGAGGGGGTCAAGATGGCTGGTTTCGGTCGGTTTCCACATTTAGAACATCGAACATCGAGTAGCCAAATAGATACGGACAATCACGTTCAAATATACAGAGTGTAACATAATTTTCGGTTCGAAAATCATAAAAAAACATTGCTAGTTTGATTTGATATTTACTATAAACATACTAGGTAAATCTTTGTCTAATGGGTAGGGAACCTACAGTATTTTAAAGAAACACGTATTTCCCATTGAAAACCAGAATAATATACCGGATGTTCTACTTAAAATATAAAAGTAACTTAATTTTAAAAGTGCCCAATGTTCAATATTAATTTTGTCTCATCCTGTATAACTTTTCGAGTCAAGTTTTAATTTGATTTAAAGTACAATGGATGTTTTAAATATTAAATATATATTAGGCTATACCGGGTAAATTCTAATTTAGATAGCTTTTATTGAAGTTTGAAATTTGTTCTTCATTTTTAGAATATGTTAAATATACCAAAAACCTTACATTTGAAATCCCATAAGCTTCTCTAATAAATATCACCTTTATTTTTTCCTAGAATCTGAAAATCAACTAATATATAGGGTTTTCCATTACAAAAATCACAACTTTGACGTGTAACGTTTTTAACTAACCTACCTATGCTCACAAAATTTTATTTCAATACAGTACTATTTCTTAAAAGAAAAAAGTATATATTATTATTTTGTTACACTCTGTATATCTGATGAACAATATTAGTGCTATATAATATCTAAAAAAGCGTCTAAATGTGCTAGCTACCGAATTCTGCGAGCATTTTATAAAGTCTGATTAATTATTGCTTAAAAGCTTGATTATTTTTTAGTTTATATATTTTTTTAGAACATTTAATTTAAATTAACAATTTTAAATAGCTCTTTACCATCATATTCTATTAAATTATGATAAAACCAACTATAGTGATACACAAATATTAAATCTACCATTATAAGTTATAGATTCTAATCATGCAATATACAGAGTATTCAAAAAATAAAATGCTTAGATTTCTTCTAGTTTCTTAAAGTATTTTTTACCTTATTTATAGAAGTTTTTGAAGGATCATAACAAGGCAAATAAAATAAAACAATTATTTATAGGGAGCCCCACTAAAAAAACATAAGTTTGAGTCCTATATTTCAAAAATGACAGCTCCCAATGAAAAACTAGTGGCGCTACTGGATTCTACGTGAAAAACTCTACTAAACTCAGTTTTTACCTTTTAGATAAGTTATAAGATAAACCCAAGCAGCAAGAGACGTGGCAACACCGTGAGGATTGCGCTACTGCTCGAAGACTATGCCCAGTGGTAGATAACAAAAAGACAAAACAACTACTAGAGCACAAAAAGGAATTGTAGGTGCCGTCACTGGAAACTGTCCCACGGGGGTAAACCTCGTAAGATGGAAAGTTTTCGACGACGACTACTGCAGAGAATGCGGAGAGGAAGAAGAAACCATAGAGCACCTGCTGTGCCACTGTCCGGCACTGGAATACCGACTCTTTAAAACTTTAGGGCAAGGTTTTTGGAGGGACTAGAGGAAGCAGCAGAAGCCAACATCAGCGACATCGGGAACTTTGCAAAGAGCTGGAAGTGTTTTAACGCAAAGAAAGAATGAGAGGAAGATTTGGTAAAACAATACAGGGGTATCGCAATGGGCCCAAGGCCGCCGAGTAAGGGATCAAATATGATCTCAAACCCCAGCAACCTTACCTAACCTAAGTTATACGATAAGCTAAGGCCACGAACTATTCGAACTACATACTACATTTCTGGAACTACAAAGGCTAGAACATTTCTGTGCTTAGCATCTTTAGTTTCATAAAAAAGTAGCGCAGTAAGGTGAAAACCGCAACTCACAAACGAGAATCCCCATAAAATACACGAAAATGAGACACCCTGTATGCGCATTTTATTTTTTGAAACTCTATTTAGTATTTTACCGTTTTCCTTCGATTCAAAACATGAAACTCACCAGTTTATGGCGCAATTGTATGTATACGTACCTAGAGTTGCTCCGTTTACTGCTATCTTTTTTGCCCGCCTGTAAATTAGGCAGATCTTTCTGTCTTTTTTCCGTTTCCCGCCAAATTCGCCAATACAGAAAACACATCACAGTAACCGGAACGTAAAACGCAGCTATCGCAGTACCTGTAAGAAGAACAAATTTTTAAATAAATAAATCTACACTGACCGGCACGAAAAACGCGCACCTTAAAATTTTTATGTATTTGAAAATGTTATATATTGTTTTCTAGCGAATCGATTTTGATGTTTTTTAAGCAATTTGTAGCTAATTTATTTGTCTTTTTAGAATCAAGAAAAAACAAAATGTGGTTATTTCGGTGAGGACTTTAAAAATTATTTTATCATCTAGTTGCATCTTTCCTCGATAGTTTGTTTTTTGGTTCATCACACTAGCTTTATTTGTTTTGAAGATATTCGTTTTTGAAGAAGAGACCAACATTTTTTCGTAAATTTTACATTAAAACCATGCATTTGCTTTTAGTTCTAGTCAACGCACCTATGAATTATTGTTTATTATTTATATAATGTAACTGTCTTTGAAAAGTTATACATATAGATATAAAAAAAACAAGTTTAGATTGGAATGTGAGTGCCCATAATAACAATGTAGATACTATTTGGCGCTATTCTTACAACGGTCGCTCTCCAAAGCATTTGATAATTTCGGAACGGTTCGGCTTTTTCCGGAATTATGCCGCCAAGTATTTATTCAAATTTATTATTATCTTCTTTTAAATTTTTAAATAAAATACAGTGTGTTGCGTATAAGAAACTTTATTTTAAATAAGGACATGCATGAAATACCTATTAAACATTGGAATTCGAAGTTATGCCACGATCCACGATGGTTTTGGCAGTTTGCACAGTTCACACAGCTTTTAAGTTTTTAGTGCTACTTTTTCACAATTACGACGGGTTTGAGTAAATAAAATTTAAATTAAACTCACAAGATAGCAATAATTACTTTGAAAATGGACGCTTTAAACACTTTTCGAAATTTTTTCGATAAGGGAGGTTTAATTTTTGAAAGATTTTATAATTTTTGAAGATTCTGACTTTGACAAGAGAAAATTATTTCTGTTCTTGTAAAGCAGCGCCCTACAACGTATGCACCCCAAAACAATTATAAGTTTTGGGCGGCAAGTCTAGCATTCCAATCGAAACTTGTTTCTTTTATCTATAAAATTATATTATTACTGTCTGTTGGGCAGTTACTGGTTATGGTTTTAAGCCCAGAAGTTGATCTCTACCATGATCAGTTAAAGCAGCAATAGTCGATACTTGTGAACTTAAAACCATCTTCAGAATTAACGTAAGAATAATAATATTTGAATTATTTTTTTTTATAAAATAGAGTAATAGAGTAAAAAATTAAAAAATATTTAAATGTCTTACCAAAAGTAATGTAATGATTGGTTTCGATGAATTGTATATAACACTCGTTGTCAGGCACAGTTCTCTTTCCTTCAATGTATGGCCAACTGTATATCCAGGGGGGCCAAAGTAACAAACTTATGCCCCAAGCACTCCTAAAAAATCATTAGTTTTAAATATTTATCAGTTCTTAAAAAATTCTCTAAGCTAAATCACATTTTATTTAATTTTGTACCATAACATATTTTGTTATTTTTGACAGTCTCGCCGTTGCTTGAGTATTTCCTCCCTAAAGACACTGGGTGGCGCTCTTATATAATGAACAATGACTAAATGTATTCTTTAGATACAGATACTATGGCAGTCTGTTTAATATAAAAAGACTCAGGGCAAAAACTCGTATAAAATTCATCAAAGAACTTCAATACGCTGATGACGCTCTAGTTGCAATATTGTTACAACAGTTACTGTTAAGAATCAAATGGTACTAAAAAATGCCTAAAACGTATTGGTCCTTGAAAAAGCTAGCTGCGAGAGTGCTGAAGTCATGATTACTAAATCCCGTTTAAGATGGGTTGGTCACGTATGCAGGATGCAAGAAAACAGCCTACAAAAAACAATCTCTTCTTTACTGTGAGCTTGTAAACGGTAATAAGAAACCAGGTAGATAACTCAAATGATACAAGGATATTTTCCATGAAAACTTAAAGGGGATAAGCATACAGAATCAGTAGGAGGAAGCAGCGCACAATAGAACGCAATGAAGAAGAATTGTAAACTCAGTTAAGACCGACAATCAAAAAGTAAAGAGGCAACAAAGTAATGAGATTTTCGAATGTCCGGAGCGGTCCGGAGTGCGGAAGAGAGAAAACATCACGTATCGGACTCATAAAAGAAAATGCCGTGCGTAACCATCTTCTGATGCGCGTCAAATACTCGTCAGCGAGTAATGACCGAAAGTACGCATTGTAATAGGTACTATGTTATATACTGTAGTACCTAGTCTAATCATGATTACGTGATTTTAAGATTAACTAAAAGATGACCGTAAAGACGTACGTCTCCCTATAGACGTAATCCTAAACACGACAGCTATCATGATAGAATTTCATGCCCATTCTCTCTATCTCCATATCTCTGATTATAACTCATTTGTTACTTACCCTATCATAAACGCAGCCTTCCTATTGGTCCTTTTAGCACGATAAGTGAGCGGTCTCGTAACCGAAAAATATCGATCGAAACTGATTATGAGCAAATTTAATACTGAAGCGTTGCTGGCCAGGTAATCCAGAGCCAACCAGGTATCGCAGATCAGAGGCCCTAAGGGCCAGGAACCTAAAAAAAGACGAAAGAAAGACTTACTATAAATTAGCTAATTAGTTATTATAGTTATTTATGTACCAAAAGAATTATAAGGGTATTAATTACCGAGGGCAAATTTACTGTCCCGAGGGTCTATGGCCCGAGGGACAATAATTACCCGAGGTTAATAACTTTATATAGTATATAGTAGTATATTTCGTCCCATTTTATGACACAAATGTTGTATTTATTAATCTTTACTTGTTTCCAGGTTATTATTGTATAAAATGACCTGTTTATAAATTGGCGGTTTATAAATAAACATAACACCTGACGAGCCTAGTTCTCAACTCAAGGTCCAATCTAGGGTGCTGGAAAACGTTCTTCATTCTTAAAAATGCATTTCTGGCTTGTTCTGTTTTGGTTTTTATTTCCACGTCGTTGTTTAAGGTGTTAACTATCCAGGACCCCAAATATTTGAACTTGTAGACCTGTTCTAAGATATTTCCCTCTATTTTAATGAGAATTAGTACATTTTGGTTCTTTTCAAATACCATGACTTTGGTTTCAAAGGAATTGATCTTCATCACGTATTTACAGGAGCCTTCAAGTCGCTCACTTAAACACTGTAGTCCAATATCAGAGTTAGCAATAAGAACTGTGTCATCGGCAAATCTAATGTTGTTAATGACTTCGCCGTTGACTTTAGTACCGCAATCTGTTGAAGAGAAAGCTCCAAGAAAAATCGCCTCAGAATAAACTTTAAACAACGCAGGAGACAGCATACATCCCTGTCTTACTCCTCTTTGTATTTGACTAGATTGGAATTGTCATTTTCCACTTTCATGTGGGCTGTTTGTTGCCAATATATATTTTTCAGAAGTGTTAATTTCTTAATCTAAACATCTTAATTCCCGTTAATAATGTCCCAAAGGATTTATGACTCTCTTTAAAGTCAACGTAGCCAAGACGTTATAAACTTATATTAATTATTCAGTAACAAATAAAAATGTTTAACCGTTTTCTCGAATTTTGATACTTAACAATTGCGTTATGTGATTTTTTGATATCAGTGATTAAATGACAGTTGATGTATCGCTAATCACTAATCTTTGTAGGCTCCAAACTTACCTAGAAGGGTGGATATCGTGAAGAGAGGCATTGAAATGAGTCCTATGGCGAAATCGGCCACCGCCAGCGAAAACAGAAAGTAATTGCTTATGGTTTGCAGTTGTTTATCGATCTTGAACGATATCATCACCATGATATTTCCAACCACCGTCAACAACGATAGAAGTGCCGCTAAAAAAAATCAAATAGATATAACTAATATTATCTTGAACATAACAAGAGTAAGTGGCTATAACACCCAAACAAATTATGAGAACCAGTAGGTGATTGTAGAGATGGGCAAAGATTGAACGACCCGTTCATTTGAACAAGTATTAAAAATGAACCGTGAGATTCGATTCACCGCTTAGAATACGGTTTGTTCAATTGAATCGTAACCAGCACGGATCCACAAAATGTGAACGAAAGAGTCGTAAAATAGAGTTGTAAGAATTGAATCGAATCACATAGCTACTCGTTTGTTTCTACGTTTCGTTCGTCAAAAGAATCGTGGGAATTGATTCATTGTTTCTACGAATTGATTCATTGCTTAGAATACAATGCGATTAAAAAGTATATAATATTAGAATTATATGCTATGAGTTTGGGTACCCAAACGTTTGTAATATAGGTAATAGTGATGATATAATATAAATTTTAGATATAAATTTTAGATTATTTTTATAATACAGGGTGTTCCAGAAATAAGTAAGTATAAGTATTTTACGGGCTGGTAGATCTCCATAAAAGAAACATATTTTCTCTTTGTCGTTTTTCAAATAAATCCAAAATAACGGAGTTATTTTACTTTGAAAATCTCAAAAAAAAATGATTTTTTGCTAAAATTTTGAGAACCACTGGATCTTTTCTGGATTTTCTTTCTTGTAAATTTAATTTAATACCTATGTTGCCATATTATCAAGAAATTATGTTTTTTAACTAAAAACTAAAAAAAATTCCAAAAAAATTTTCAAAAAATTTCGAATTTTCAAAAAAAAATTTTTTGCGAAAAAAACCTCATAGGCGTGTTTCTGGGGTTGAACTATACTACCAGTTAAAATACTTGCACTTATTTCTGGGACACCCTGTATACCGGGTGCGTCTCAAAAGTGGCTTACCCCTATAACTTTTTTTATTTTTTCAGATGAAAAAACGAAATTTGATACGTTAGTATATATTTTACATAAATTAGGATTGATTGACAAATTCAATTGATTTTGGTCACTTCCTGTTTGATAGGAAATGATTACAAGTTTTAATTTTTAAATGGCACCCTCGGTATATTTCTACTTTATTCGATAGAAAATGACACTCTGAGTAGAATGACATATCATATGCCGACTTTTGACATTTTTGCTCAAAAAAAATCGCATTTTAAATTTCAATCTGGAGTGCCATGGCTCTATGAAAAATACTAATTTTTAATCAAAGACCCTTGGAAAAATATATTTGATCTTCTAATGTTTTTCGTATCTTGTCCTGTTAAAAAGTTATAGAGGAGAGCTACTTTTGAGACGCACCCGGTATATTAGTTATACAATTTTATGTTCTGTTATACCAACTTTATACATTAGTAATAAAATAAACTATAATTAACGTCACTATGAAGAGTTATGAAGAATGCGTATTTATGTACCTATTAAGCTGGACTTATAAACTCGGCAGATGCAGTTCAGTTGAGGTTCACAAAACACTATGAAGTGAACGCGCGCATTTATAAAGTCAGTTGGTCGAAAAGTTGGCAGTTCGTTTTACGTTCAACGGATTTCAAAGATGGTCAATGTTTACGTCGGCGATAGCCAATGAATAAGCGCCTGTCGATCGCGTGAAGCACGGCAAAGAGAGGCGACGCCGGTGTATTGGAAAATGGCCCTTATTGTTGTTTCATTATTTCTGTTAATGTAATATGTTTATATTTTGCGTAATCTTGGATTACTGTGTTTGAACTTTGACAAATATCAAAAGTATTTTCGAGATTTTCACAATTCCAAACCTAACCTAAAACCGAAACTGAGAGTTTATAAATGCAAAAACATTGAACCGCAACTGCCGCAAACATCCAACTGCAACTGAACCTCAACTGAACGCCAACTCCCGAGTTTATAAATCCAGCTTTAGGGTACTAGGACATCAATAGACTCGAGCAAAAGCCTTAAACAAACATGATGGATATAAAATGCAAGGAATGTGAAAGTTATTTACAAACAAATATCTAATTATACTGTAAAGGTACATTCAGGCTGAGAGCGTCGAGCGTCGCGTCGCGTTTGCGTCGGGTCCGCCCCATTGATCTCGAACCCCGACGCTCAGCGGACGCTAGCGCAACGCCAAACGCGAAGCTGTCTGCCTGAACGGTCTAATTTAAGTTAAGTGAATTGATTCCATTTCAATACGCGGACGCGACGCAAACGCGACGCGACGCTCGACGCCCTCAGCCTGAATGAACCTTAATACGTAAAATGTGTTTGTAATTTGTTCAAATGAACGAATCGTAAGAGTTGGTTCATTGTGAGAGATTCACAAAAAAGTGCCAATCACTAAGTGAGTGAGGTGCTTACCAATGGTGCCTATGAATACGATCTGTGTAATGGTGTAGGTAGCCTCGCGGGGGGAGTCGTCGAAGACCAGAGAAATGTTCTCCGTCGCCGGCGAGGTGTTCATCTTGTCACGAGGACCTGGTGGACAGACGTCGCCGCATTTCGCCCTCTTGCCCCCGCAGAAGCTAAGGAACAATAGCAATTAACACACAGTATACAGGTTGTTTCTTAATGGCATGCTAATATTTAAGGGGAAGATACTTGGACTTGTTCTAAGAACAAATCATAGGTATGTAAGTCTTAGACATCTTAATTTTTTAGATACGGAGTGGTAAATAGTATATTACATACCGAGGAGGCAAGTGTTTCATTACTGCCGAGAGATTGATATTGTAAACAATAATAAAAACTTTCCTCCGAGGTTTGTATACTATTTTATTTACAACCACATCATTAATTAAAAAATGGGGACAGTATTTTATTTTGAAAAAAAAATATGTGAAAATTTGTCGTTTTCTGTTTTGGCATTTCCATATACATGGGCGTAGTCAGGGTGGGGCAGGGTGGGGCGCTTGCCCCCCCCCTGGACGGACGTTATGAAAAAAATAAAATTATATAACTAAAAAAATTTAAATTCAAATGATCCTACCCTACTTATTTCCTTTACCTCTTAACTGGGTATGTCAGATACATTCGCATCCTAAAAAGTTGACTTAATTAAACTTAAAATCGAGGCTGGTGACCAAAATTTAAAAGCACACCTTGAGAAGGGCGCAAAAAATGCCGCCTACCTGTCACCACAAATTCAGAATGAAATTATTGACCTTTGTGGTGAGGTCATAAAAGAGGATATCATTGTGGATATTAAGAAGGCATGCGCATGCAGTATACTAGCCGATGAAAGCAGCGATATTTCCGGAAAAGAACAACTCTCTATTGGCACGAGGTTTTTTGATGAAGAACATATGATGATCCGAGAAGAATTTCTGGGGTTCGTGGAACTAAGTGCGATGGACGCTATTTCTATAGCCTCAGCCACTGATAGTTTCCTAGCCAACGCAGGCCTGGACCCTGAAAAGTGCGTCGGACAAGGGTACGATGGGTGTTCCACCATGGCTGGAAAGGACGGCGGTGTACAAAAAATTCTTCGGGAAAAGTACAAGCACGGGCTGTATTTTCATTGTGCTAGCCACAAACTTAGATTAGTGGTGAACGATTTAAACCAGTTAGCGGTGATTCGAAATACAGTGGCCACAATAAAAGAAATAATAAAATTTGTTCGAGAATCCCCACTTCGGCGAAAATTCGTTCCAAACGTGCCGATGTTCTGTGAGACCCGCTGTGTGTGTGCAATCGTGGCTGCTTCTCAGTTTTTCAAACACTCTCAACAGATGGCAATGCAGCTACGAGAAAAGCTGCTTTTTAAATGCATTGTGCAGCTTCAAATTCTGAGTTTATTGTTAGTGTCTGCTTAATAGCAAAATATTCTGCATTTTTGCAACCAGTTGTAAATGTTTTGCAGTCAAAAAGTTTGGACTTATTACAATGTATGAACCATATAAAAAGAATTACCACCCTTTTAAAAACACACCGGGAAAATGTTAATGACGAGAGCGTAAACATAATAAAAGAAGCCGAAAAAATTGCCGAGGACATTAATACGGATTTTAAAATGCCGAGGGTTACAAATCGACAAACGCTTCGTGCAAATCCTCCAGCAGCTTCTTCTTTCGAGTACTGGACGAGATCTTTCATAATTCCGTATCTGGATTCATTGATAATGTCTTTAGAACAGCGATTCTCTAATGAAAATCTGCCAGCCCACGAGTTGCTTTCATTACACCCTAATATTTTTCTTGCTTTACCATTTGCTGAGTTTTTAAAAAAAGATAAAATCTTTTGTGACTGCTACAACTTAAACGAGATTTTGTCTGAAGTGGAACTATGGTATAATCTGTGGAAAGAAAAAAAAATGTCAGACTCGGAGTTAAAAGAAATTGACCTAGTTGAACTAGTTAAAGAGGTGCAATCTTTTTACCCAGGCATTAAAAAAGCGCTCCAAATTTTACTCGCGCAACCTTGCACTACCTGCACAATAGATCATTCAGCACCTTGCGTCAGGTAAAAACTTGGTTACGGTCAAAAATGTCGGAACAACGACTTGTTGGACTTTGCATGATGAGCGTCCATCGAAAAAGAGTTTTAAACGCGAAGGATCAGTATGAAAAAGAAATTTTGTCCAAGTTTAGCAAGAACTGAAGAAAGTTAATGCTAAAATAAAATACTTACAAATTATAAACCCAACATGTTTTTTTTTCCTTGTTTTCTTGCCCCACCCTGGGGAACACCCTGGCTACGCCCATGACCGGTACCAGTGGTTGTTATGGCGCAAACCTTCAACCGCAAAACAAACAAGTAAGTGACAGTTTTGAATTTCTCGTTCGCTTTTTCGAATTTATATAACATAGAAAGCCAGAATGTTGTCGAATAGTTCTGATAATGAAGACTACTTTAATACTGGTACTCCACCAGAACTTACAGAAGCTGCAAAAAGAGGAGAAGCCACTCACTGTTCAGTTGAGTCTCACTATAATTTTTTCTTAAAATTAATAAAAATTGTTATTATCATTTAAGAAAAGTAAGAATATTGAATGTGTAAAATCCGTATGGACGCCACTGGTTTGAAATAAATAAATTTCTTTGTACATCAAAAAGGAATTTTGATGCATAGAAGACGTGTATCAAGAGTAAATGATTATTTTAGGAATTTTCATTTTTATCTACGAATTTTACGATTAATCATATACCTGTCCATATAGATTAAAACATCCGAAATTTGGATAGTACGAATTTCGTGCGTCGTATTGTTTTTCACAGAAAACTTAACTAGGCTTAAGTGAAATATGATATAAGACAGATTAGTCACTCTTACTTTTAAATGTTAGATCTTTCATCAAAATATGTCAACATGCCGACTCAAACAATATGAGACTAAGAAAAACATAACTGTGCTATCATATGCCAAGTAGTTATGAAAACTTCCATACCCTGTCGGCCACAGATAATCTTTGGTCGGTATTTGCATGTACAGGAGTGAATCACTATGGCTACGTAAATTTGATGGAGAATATCCTTCTCTTTCTCAATCATTATCAATAAATTTGATACGATTAAGAAAGAGACTGACCCCGTTTCTAGATGTCTTTGTAGTAGAAATGGGGGATCTATTAAGACTTCTGTATACAGAAAACCCACACACACGGGACATTATTTAAGTTTTCAGTCAAATTATTCTGAAGCAACTAAGAAAGGAATAATTAAAACTTTGTATCATCGAGCGAACACCATATGCAGTGACCAAGCATCACTTAATGTCGATTTAAATCTGTTATATTAATAAGAAGCGTCCTAACAAAAACAAGGCCGAAATCATTGAAACAAGAGAAAGAGTGCATCTGCCAGATACCTTATGAATGCAGTGAGTCGTATATTGAAGAAACTAAACGGCTTCTAAATGTACAAAAGATGAAACAATGAAGTCAGGTATTGCGGGTCAAGTTTGGTCAAAACAGCAAAATACAACGCGGTTAAAAGCTTGGGTTGTCCACAGGGAACCTCATTGGAAACAATTTAAAGAATCCCTTTTATGTAGCAAGCAATAATAATATTTTTTAGCAATCCTAGTGTATTGGAATACCTACGATATGGCAACTACTGATAAAACGCTTCAATGCAGGCATTCCATGTGGACAACCTCAATGTTGACTGCACCCAACTTCTTCACGTGTGAATGCCTGACCGCAGTATAAAAAGTCAGTAGTTTTAGGAATTAGTTTCCAGTTTCAGTTTTTTTTTGCGTTGATTAATAATAATTATTCCAAATACTAAAAAATTGAATTTTGTATGCGTATTGACGGTGTGGTAAAAAGTAACACCTTAAGAATTTTATTTCATTTTTTGACGAATGCTTATTTATAACAACAGAGACGTTCATTTTCATAACTTATTATTATATTGATTTATTATTGAAATCCACATTTATTTAGAACATTTATTAACTAACACAATTAAGTATACAATTAATTAATATTTAGGCGAAAATAATGGTGGTATATTTAATTAATGGTAAACACTTTTATACAGATTTAAACTATTTAATATCTTTTTGTATACATATGGGATGGGCTAATAATATTATCGTTTTTATCACCTGTACATTTTGTACATTTGTTGCTTTAAAAACAATCTAAATTTTTCTTTTATTTTTTAGTAAAATAAACAAACTACGGCAATATTAGTATCTGTACTCTTTAAAAATTTGTTACATCTTTAAAAATAACCTAAAATGTCAATATTCCATAGGTATATAGATAAATGAGGTGTAAATTATAAGAAGATGCATTTTCTTCAAAAACTTGAAGAGATAGGTAAAAAATGGTATAAAACATGATAGACAATTAAATTGTGCATCTGATTCTCATAAAATATACAGGGTGTTCCATTTAAATTAAAAATGTTATTGCCGTTTAGTAACGGTAACGGTAAGGTTTAATTGTGATAAACCTTAATCAAATTTACCTTTATTTTAATCGTAGAAACTGAAAATGTAATAATATACAGGGTGTTAGGTTAGGTTCCATTTATAAAAATAGAATTTTGATATTTTTTATTTATTTGGAACACTCTGTATCTTGCAAAAATAAATTTAAATTGTAGCTCTAATAGTCCTTCAACGAACCCAAAACTTGTTAATTTATAAAAATTTGTAAAAATCTAATCGTTTAGCTACAATACTCCGTATCGTATGTGGTGAAAAACTCTCTATAATATAGCCATAATCATTAATTTGGGACCTTTTAATATACATTTTTCTAAAATTTTCAAAATATCCTTGCGTCACTAAATTCTCCTTAACTTTACTAAACTAATTAAGCCGACCTTATAGTCAAATGAATTCGGAAAATGCCCGGCTTCATAATAAAATTACATCGAACGACAGGCAGTACAGCAGCTAAAATTAAACCAAATCAGGTCAAATTAAAATTGACTAGAAAAAAACGCGCGTCCTGCTATAAGCTTTTTCTAAACGGTTTCCCCTAACGGTAAATAAGTGTTAACAAGATGCACTTTCAAGTGCACCACTCACACTTTGAATGACGATGTGCGGTTTAAAAATGCAAGAAACAGCCTCGGGGGGTTGCTCCACCGCCGCGACAGATGGCCTTTTAATTTTGTCTTTTTCTCTTTTGTAGATTATGCAGTTTATGGGAAAGAAAATGTGTCAATCATATTTTCTTTCTGCATGTACTGGGTGAGTCAACGATAGATTATAGTCCATTATATCGAAGGTTAAGATACACATTTTAAAAATATTATAGAGTATACAGGGTGCTTCAAAAAATTTTTGGCGGATATAACATATGTTTTCTTTTTAAATGCAACACATTATTTTTTATTTTATTTTTAGATTCTGCGTAAAATTCCATAATTTCTTTATATATAATGTTATATATTATGTACCTAAAATTAAAAGGTTTTGTAATATTTAAATTTGTTTAATCAAATGGTTAGATTGCAGTGTGGTAAAAAACTGTCAGTGATGCCATTGTTTCTAAAGTTGAACTAAACTAACTTTTTAATTAAAATATAAAATATAGTACCACTTTCTTAATAACTTAAGAACTACTTTAGAAATATAACAAGCGGAAAGAAAGCATTTTAATAAATAACCCAACATTTATGTTTTTTTATAACTTGTTAGTATAGGAAACCCTTTTTGTGTATTAACTGTTGAGCAACAGAGAGATTATATAAATTTAAAACTTTGACCCAGTAAAAAAACACTGATTATATTTTAGCCATAAGTTGTATTTGATACCTACTTGTGCTTGTTAGTGTATGATACCTCTTTTATTAACTGTTCAGCAACATATAGATTATAAAATTTTGAAAAAAAATAATACTGATCGTACTTTAACTAAAAGTTAACTTTGGGATATAAAATTGTTACTTAGTATGTGTAGTTTATTTCTGTTAAAAATTATTAATTACTCTTCTGATTATATTAAAATTTGCAATATTTTTTCATGAAAATCGAAAATATAGTACCACATTCTTATTAAAGAACTACTTCAGAAAAATAACAAGCAGATAGAATACATTTTAACAAATAATCCAACATCATGTTTTTTCTTGTATCTTTTGTCAGCATATGAGACCCTTTTTGTATTAACTGTTGAGGAACATAGAGATTATATTATTATAAAACTTTGACAGATAAAATATTGATCATATATTCATACATACTTAGCTAAGTTGTATTTTAGACCTACTTGTGCTTGTTAGCATATGATACCTCCTTTTATTAAAACTGTTCAGCAACATAGAAATTATAAAATTCTAAAAACTTTGACGGGAAAAAATACCGATCATATTTTAGCTAAGAGTTAACTATTTGAATGTTAAATTATTACATAGAATAGTAGTAGTAGATACCCAACTAATTCTGTTAAATTATTATATAATAAAAATAAAAAAGATTGCACCAGGTTTGTACTAAATTACAACTAGAAAATAATATGCAGAGAAAATGTATTATAAAAATTAATCCAAAATCTAAACTTTTCATAACGTATTTGTATATTATACACCTTTTTTATAAACTGTTTAGGAACAAAATGAGATTATTGTTAATTTTACACAATGTTTTTCTACAGGAATTTCAATTATTAATTCTATAACACCCGTGTTAAAAAAAAAGGTAAATTGAACAAGAATATCCTAAATAACCTATATTCCTAATGCTTGTAATAATACTATTTTAATAAATAATGGAAAATATAAAATCTCATAACTTTATTGTATAGGATATATCTTTTTTTAACCGTTCCCCAATAGGAGATTATTATAATAATAATAATTCGATTTTTTATAGAAACATTGCAACTAGAAGTAAATTATTGAAATTAAGGCTTCTTCTACTTCTTACAGTGCCATACTCTATATAGAGCGTCGGCTACCTCTCGCATGTACTTGTGATGTGTGTCATCAGTGTTTCACAAGTACCGGGACCTACAGTTTATTGCCGAACCCGAAAGGCACTATTTGAGAGACTGTACAAGGCAAATATACTCAAGGTGGTTTGCCATTGCCTTCCTTGAAGTGGCGGCTCGTTGGTCGCTCTATTTAGATAAATAAATATTTTTATTTAAATAAATAAAGCGACCGTACTGGCTGGGGATCGAACCCAGTACCTTCCGCTCCGCAGATCGACACACTAACGCTGGAGCTACGGCTGGCCACCAAATTAAGGCTAAGATGACTGAAGTTAAGGTACAACAAAATAAAAAAATCGTCTTCAACAACATGAGTACATAACTTCAACTAGTTGATTAGAGAATCTAACGTTTTCATTGTTTGAATATGATACCTGTTTTGATTAATCGGTCAGCAATTGAAGGAGATAAATAACAATACAACAGAAGGAGGCAATAATAAATCATTCTAAACAATGTATTTTTAGAGAAATATTGCGTAAAATAGAAGAAAATTATTGAAATGCATCGTAATAAAAAAGTATTCTTCATTATACCTAAGTTTACATCAATTAAAACAAGAAATTAACAAAAACATACAAATTCGAAAAAGACTTGTTTTGACGTAGTTTTGAAATCAAATCAAAATGTTATAAAAATATAATTGACCTAAAACGCAAAGCCGTAAGTATTTTAGAAAACCACATACAATATTAAAGCGAAAACTAAGATGCATTGGTAGTATTCATCAAACATGAGTGTACATCATTTCAAACATACAGAATTTTAATAGTTGATTTGCTGATTTGAAGCAAAATATCATCAGAGTACTACACCAATAAAAACGCAACTTGCATGGAAACATAAAAATATTAAATAGAAGTGGTGAGTCATATTGAATGAAGTTATGTACCCTACATAGTAGTATAATAGTTTTGATTAGGGATTGTCAAAACTTTGTTACAACTTGAAACACTTAAAACCAGAGATCTCAAATTAGAATCTACTATAAAAATGATTACTGAATGTTTTAAAGTAGTTAAAGAACGACGAAAAACATTATTAATTATAACAAATAATTTAAACATATAAATTCTAAAAGGACTTGTTTTGACGTAATTTTGAAATCAAATCAAAATGCTATAAAAATATAATTGACCTAAAACATAAAGCCATAAGTGTTTTAGAAAACCGTATAATACTAATGCAAAAACTAAATTCAACTTTTGAAGAAAAAATATATTTTTACAAAAATAGCACTTCGAATAATAGTATTTTAATGAATAACCGAAAATCTAAAGTTTTCATAACTTGTTTGTATATGATAAATCTTTTGATTAAATGGTCAACAAGAGAAGTAAGTTATTAATAATTCTAAACAATCTATTTTTACAGAAATATTGCTTTAAATAAAAGTAAATTCCTGAACTGATTTGAAGAAAAATATCATCGGAGTACTACACAAACCATACGCAACTTACATGGATATATAAAAAAATATTAAATATAACTGGCGAATCATATTCATTGAAGTTATGTACCCTATATAGTAGTATAATAATTTTGATTAGGGAAGAAAAACATTGTTACAGGTTGTAATACTTAAAACCAGAGATCTCGAATTAGAATCTACTATAGAAATGATTACTGGATGCTTTAAAGTAGTTAAAGTACGACGGAAAACAATATTAATTTAGTGACCCAATGACAAAATTAGGGCAAAAAATGCGATGCACTCGAACCCGGGGTACAGGTAACTGGGCTACGTCCCAAAACAACTGTCGAAAAACACTTATCGATCACGACCGAACATGATGAAAAAACACAAGCTTTACTATCAAAAACCTTGATTCTCTCATTGCCCGGGCATAGTTCTGTAATATACTCACATCGGGTGTATACTCTCCTAGATATACATATATATACAACGCACACTCTCACACAGCCTCACACACAATCTCTCTCTCGGAGCGTTCGTTCGATCGTCATTCGCGTCGAGGGACATTATCGAGGGATAACTCGCTTACCTTATCGCCTTTTACATCCCTTATCCTGATGGCGGGCATCGTCCAGAGACGTTGGCACGGCAGCACATATCGCGGCGCTCGATGCCCTGGACTCGCTCCCTGTGAGTGTGTGTGTGGATGCTGTGTTAGGCCAGCGGCCGCGATCCACCGCAGCACCAGGCTCGCTCCATAGGCGTGGACTGGCCGGGCGCCTACTCTACGGACGGGCTGCTCCAGGGCGGAACGTGTCCCCGCCGCTCCCCGCGGCTCCCCCGGCCATCGGGAGATGGGAGAGATCGGTCGGGTTCGGGTGCGGAGCCGAGAGAAAGGACCGGATGGGAAGAATGGGGTGGGAAAGGCGATCGGGAATCGGTAGTCTCGATACTGTGGGTACATGCCAAAGAAGGTTTCAGTATGCTTTGCTCTCTTGTAGTACACAGAGAAAACACTATCGTATCTACAAAGATAATATTTATCATTACGCCTAAGGTAGAGCGCCCACCAAAGTGACGTAGCATATGACGTTGTACCTATACGGCAATAATATGGCAATAGCGTTGCATGGCTTTGCGGAAAGCGCACATCACATATACGTGTAGAGACAGTGGCGTAAACGTGCCGGGTCCTCAAAAGACGAAGATTTGTTAGCAGTTGTAAACAATGTATGTATTGGATACACCCCTTTTAGAAAAAGAGACAAAAGAATAGTGGATTTAGCGTTTTTAAAAAATTGAATATGTATCCAGAAAGATTTCAAGCATTTTATAGAATGAAAAAAGAAACCTTTGAGATGTGCTAGTTAGAAAAGCCTCAATCAATGATACAAAACGTATATTGAAGTCCAAATCGTCTTTCATTTTTACTAAATTCGAGTAACGTGTTAATAGAACGTGGTGAAAAGTAGAACCAGGTCTATTTTTGAAGCAGTGGCTTGGCATGCTACAACGACAAATGACAGTATCTTTTGTCGTAAATGTTTCATTATGACACGTTTCTGACAGCGCTACTTCAGTGTGCGCTGACACACTTATTGTCGTTTGTTCAATTCGACGTAACTTGCTAGATGCATGTTACTTGCCAGATCACGCGCCACGTCAGATGCAACGTTCCTTTGGTGGGCGCTCTCCCTAAGGCAAGGCACGGACCAAGGTCGTAAATAAGTGGCGTAGCAGCGGCGTGGTAATCGAGTAGCAAGTGGATCTGCCAAGGCCTACGTAAAGAAACGCAGCCGTGGTCTTTTGTAAGTGACGTGGTGACAGTCGGGTGCCACTAGTCTCCAACAAATTTAATTTTCGACTGACAAGCGACTGGTGACAACGTGGCGTTTGAATTGCAACTGCCTTTTCAATACGTAATTATATTATTTAAATATTTCTTACAGTGATCAGAAGTGTGAATTATATTATTCTTAGTAACTTGCAAAATGTCACTATCTTCATTTGATAGAAGAAAAAAACTTTTAAACTTTTGGTAATCCAGGTTCAAATCCTTTTTATAAACGTTATTAAAAACACTAAACGTTTTTTTTTCTCTGCCACAAAGGATGAATCCAATAACAATGTTTTTCTTCAAATTTTTCTTTTTTTCCTTATTTTAGTGGAGTGCCTTAAGCCCTTATGGGATACAAACCTCGGAATTCATTTACTGTGAACAATTTTTTTTTAAACTGTTTGCATTGTATTGTTAATAAGATATATTACAAAGTTTACCCATTTAAATTCGTTGCTTTCACTTTAGTATTTAAATAAACACACATATTGTACACATAAACACACACAAATGCATACATACAAGATGGCTCCGTGTTCCAAAAAAGCTCTGTATCAGGATTCCTATTTGAGATTTTCACTCCAAACCTTTAACAAAATATTATGTGTGTAATGCTAGTTCACATTTCAAATATATTTTTATAGATATACAGGGTCAGTCAAATATATTTTTACACTTGTATGAAGTTTTAGTTTTTCAAATGAAATGCTTTATACAGGGTGGTCCAAACTGCATTCCGGAAACTTCAGCAGCACATTTTACAGATAAAAATAAGTAAAAAAGTTCGTATAAATGTATGTCCTAAAATGCTTAGTTTCGGAGATACAGGGTGTACAAATTTCAGTTTTATTTTGATTTTTTCCAAATATTTTCTGAAGTAACGTAAATATTTGGATGAAAATTGGTATCTAGGAGTTTTTTGGCACGATAAATTTGATTTTGATGTCAACATGACTTCTATTTGTAGGGGGCGCCACCTACATGTGTTTTAACTGTTTTGAGGGGTAATAACTTTTCGTCCGTACGTGTATAAAGCTACTGAATGAAAAAATAAATATTTCCGTATTTTTTTACGTAAAAAATATCTCTTGGTAAAAATCGCTACGAGCAACCGTTCTCAAGATATTTAGAATAGAAATAGAGTCAATACATGTAATTATTGACTAAAAATAACCATGTTGAGTAGATAGTTTATTTGAATCAAATGATAAATTTGGGAACTTTTTAATTTTTTTAATTAATCCTAAATTTTTCTTCCAAAAAATGATAATAAAACAGTTTCTATTGAACTTTTGACACAAAAACATTTCAAATTTATGATTTCAGTCTAATAACTATTTAGTGAACATGTTTAATTTGTCAATGATGACAGGTATTGATAATTTCGATTCCAAATATCTTGAAAACTATTACTCGTATCGATTTTTACCAAGAGACCTTTTTTACGTAAAAAACGTCGTAAATGTATATTTTTTTACTCACTAGTTTTATACAGGTAAAGACGAAAAGTTATTATTCTTCAAACCAGTTAAAAAATATGTAGGTTGCGCCCTCTACAAGTAGGAGTCATATTGACATCAAATACCAAATTTCTCATGTCAAAAAACTCCTAGACACCAATTTTCATTCAAATATTGACGTTACTTCAGAAATTATTTGGAAAAAATCGAAATAAAAATGAAACTTCTACAACCTGTATTTCCAAAATTAAGCATTTTAGGACATATATTTATACGAACTTTTTTACTTATTTTTATCTGCAGAATATACTGCCGAAGTTTCCGGAATACAATTCGGACCACCCTGTATTTGTTTAGTTCAGTGAATTTGCAATAAAATTCCGGTTCCATAAATACCTAAATACCATTTACTAAATTTTAAAACCATTTAAAATTACTAAAATAAAAAATGAAAAGCAACGAAAAAAAAATGGGTAAACATTTTAGTATTTTATCTATAAAGCACAATACAGAAGGTTTCACATTAATACATAAGCACAGTAATTGAATTCCGAGGTATAAGCCTCTAGGCACTCCACTATTTTGAGTGTTTAGTTCATCCTCTGAGGCTGATGACATTTTCCATAATAATAAAATTACTGATGAGATGTAACGGTGACACCAACGTCGCTTGCTACTGCAGTGCGCATTCTTTTTTTAATCAAAATTTCTTTTTACGCTTTGATGGTAACATTTTGATTATGCAAAAGAAATACATATTCCTTAGTTTACTAGTTGCCTAAAAAATATTAATAAAATATATTATATTCTTCAACTCCTTCAATTTTATTAACTGACTAACAGTTAGATTTATCCGATAGTCAAGCAGCACTTAACGCGATCAACTCAGTAACCATCAATTCGAAGTTGGTCAAAGAATGCCTAGAGAAGCTCAACAAATTAGGCAAAGAAAATAAAGTCCTCCTACTCTGGGTGCCTGCTCACCAAGGGATAGAAGACAATGAAAAAGCAAATGATCTAGCTAGAAAAGGAGCGAACACTCCACTAACTGGACCAGAACCGTTCTGTTTTCCAAACGGGAACCAACTGAAAGCGGAACTAAAGAATCTGGAAGACTCCTGGAATGGGTGTCCTCAAACGGTCTAAGACACTCGAAAAAGTTCCTTAGAACTTATGACCGAGAAAAATCAAAGGTTTTCCTTGATTTAAGTAAAAACAATCTTCGGATTGTCACGGGGTTTCTAACAGGACACTGCCTCCTCAACGAACACCTCAGTAGGCTGAAACTGAGAAACAACGGCGAATGCAGATTTTGTGGGGAAAATAGGGAAACACCAGAACACCTTATCACTGAGTGCGCCGAGACGACGACCATTCGTGCCATGAACCTTGGTACGTCTGATGTCGAGGAAGGAGAGCTGGCCTCTGTGGAGCCGTCTCAGATACTAGCTTTTCTTAAAGCCCTGAGACTGTATGATGAGTTATAACTCAAGAAAGGGGAACACACAATAGATCTATAAGGTTGCGGTGATTAACTCCCCTCTTAAACATTCTACATTCTACAACAGTTAGATTTAGTTATTAACTAACAGATTTTATTTACTAACAGCTATTGCTGTTAGTAAGAAGTTTCACTTCAGATAATATGTGCACATAGTGCACACACACTATTTTTTTTGTTTTCTTTTGGATTCAACGCAATGGTCTTTAAAAAAATAAAACTATTATTTTGTAGAATTCTTTTCCAATGGCGAAAAACGAACATTTTCAAGAAATTTACCCGCCGCAAAGATCTAGATATTATTAAGAAAATATGTATCATGTACACAAAAGTTATGAAATACAAGTTTAATAATTCTTTTTCTAGATTTCAATATCTATTAGTTCCTTTGTATAAAAAGTGTAATAACTTAGAGATGATGGATTATCGATGATCATCATCGATACCGGACGATCTACGTCTCCGATTAATTCTTTGATCTGATTGGACGGTTGGTTACGTATTTTACAGTTTCCTATTTTTGTGACGCTTGGCGTGATGCTTTGGCGTGATACTTCGCGTGATGATTCGCGTGACGCTCTGGTCATTCAAGACCGTGTGTCGCGGTCTTGAATTTTAAGTCCCATCGCGCGTATAGAAGTATCCTATACAGCACGTCCAAATAAAATTACGTTTCTACAAGGGAGACACATGAGAAACTAACTATGTTAAAGTGAACCTAAGTATTCATCTATTTCTAACATGTACATATGAGATACACGCAGGTTTATATTGATAGAATTGTGTGATACAGTGTTTACTAGTTGTATACCGTATGCACTCAAGATTCTAAAGAGTTTTTTGTAACGTAACAAATAATTATTAAAATGATGAAATCTGACGTCGGTATATGAGACATACAATGTATATGTCATATGTATGTGTGATACTTCGTATCATAGTTGTGCCTATAGTACACACCTTGTAAAAA